TGCTCAAAATATCAAAAGAAGGGAAAAATGGAGGAAAGGGGATTACAAAACGGGGGTAATCACCTCTCCTTCTTTGGTGATTGTGCACACACACTCCAGCAAATTTATTTTTAATGTAAAAAAAAAAAGTCAATCTCTTGACAGAAAAATCTTTTGCTGGTAGTTATGCAGCATTGTTTGAAAGAATGAGGCTCTGAGAAGAGAAACTAGTTGTACGACCCTGGGTATATTACGATCTCTTCCCATCTTTCAGAAGTGCTATCTATTGGCGTCAGCAGGTGGCAGGGTGCTCAAGGCTGTGGATTCCCACATAGCCAACTGTGGTTTGAGTTCTGGACCTGGTGGATTGAAAATCATACTGGATATGTTTGTATGCCTGCCCAAAATCCCAGAAAGAAAAATGAAAGACAAGGATTATGGTGTGGCTATCTCCTTTGTGTGTGTGTGTGTGTGTGTGTGTGTGTGTGTGTGTGATTTCTCACTTTCCCTTTCTGTGTCTCTTTCTCTTTCTCCAGCAAGAGTACATGCCCTATGACAAAAACTTCAAAAAGCAAAACAAAAAAGTACTATCTGCTTTTCTTTACACTCACAGCTGGGGAAAGAAGAATCACCTCTGACCTCAGACAACTACATGTGAGTTCACTGGAAATGCTTACTGAAAACCAGTGTCTGTCTTAATTCGTTTTGTATTGCTGTAACAGAATACCTGTGATGGGGTAACTTAACAAAGAAAAGGAATTTCTTTCTCATAGTTCTTGAGGCTGGAAGCTCAGAATTGGGCAGCAGCACTCAGCTGGCTTCTTGTGACAGCCTGTGCAGCATCAAACACAGCAGAGAAGCAGAAGGGGGAGCAGGTACATACAAAAAAGGGCAAAACATGAGAGGACATGGCTTTTTAATAGCCTGCGCTTGTGGTAACTAATTCAGTCTTGTGAGAGCAATAATGAAGCACCCACGACCCAAAATGCCTCCCACTAGGCTCCACCCCGAAAGGTCCCCCTCCCAACATTGCCAAACTGGGACCAAATCTCGACATGAGTTTTAGTGGGAATAAATCACATCCAGTAACAGAACATGGCATACTTTTTGTATATTATTTCATACTGGTTTATACTGCAATATGTTACAGTTATGATCACTTCAGTTTTAAAAAAAAATTATGTCAAATTTCTTCCTCTTCTTTTTTTTTTTTTTTTAGAGATTTTTGCTATGATGTGTTTGCTTTAGAGATTTTTGCTATGGGAGCATGTGCTTGCCTGAGAGACAGAGAGAGGGAGAGAGATGCTGCAATCCCTTCTCCTCCATTCTTCTCTTGGGATTTTGGGCACGCACACAAACATGCCCAGCATGAGTTTCAAGTCTCTGGGTCTGGGACTTGAATCGTGGTCAGCCATGTGGGAGTCCAGTGACATAACCATTACGCCATCTGCTGGTCCTGCTATATTAATTTCAATAAGCTTCTTAAAATCCCTTTTAGAATGAGGCAGAGTATAAATACATTCCTAACATATATACATACCTTCCTATTACAGGGATTAAGTGAGATGCTTGTACAATTTAGAAAAACTAAGGTATCTGAACATTTTTCACAAGTATTAATAGGTACTATAAACATCATACTGCTGGGCTTTGCTTTCAAAATAGCAAAATTTTTGATATAAAAAGAAATTCTGTTTAATTAATGTTTGTTGATATAAACTGTGGACACTGCAGTATTGTAAAAAGAACTGGGAATCTAAGCTTTTTGTTTTTAATTTGCTATGTAACACTGAGCAAATCTCTTGTTAGTTCACCTCTTTGAACCTCATTTCTATACCTATTAAGCAGTCAGTGAGAGAAGAGCTCAGATGATCTCAGGATGATCAGTTTTAAGTCCATGATTCTACTACCTGATGGATCTACTAAGACAGCGAGTGAAAAAAACATCCATCAGTATGTGCTGCCTGGGAATCCCACTTATTCAATGTCATATACAAATGTATGCATATAATTTAATATAGACAGCCTGTCCTCCCGTGTGTTCATGTACAGTATTACAAATGTATCCTTTCGAAGCAGTATTTTGCCAATAGTGACATCTAGTGACTACATCACAGATCATTCAACAAAAAATGTTTGCCCAATTCTTAGTCTTGTAAGTGTGGATTAGCTAAATCCTCTGGCTTAGCTAAATATTTTTAAGTTGTTCCTCACCTCCCCTATCTACAGACTTAAGAAATGCCGATTAAGCTTGACAGTAGTATTGATAAGCAGATACATAAGAACTGAAACTTCCTTGCAAAATCATACCGTACAGAGTTCAGTATAAATTATTCTAAATGAGACTGCAACTTTTTTCTCTCCCTTGAGAGTGGCAGAACTGGGATTTGAATTCTGACATGTTTTAATATAGTTCATGCTCTTAGCTGTGATGTATCACTGACACATTTAGCATCTTGGTTTTCTTTCTTGGTTTTTATTTAATTAATGTAACTAGGTAAGCATATGTATCAATGTCTATGTCTATAAGTATGCACTGCTTTAGAAACCTTGGAAATAGTTCTACATTTCAGACAAAGAACTCTTTTTGAGATTAGATCAGAGATCAGATAAAAACAACCAAATTATGTCTTTCTGAACATATAAATTTGAGTTACATCTGCAAAGAGAAAACTCTATAAAATTGCAATGAAATTTGATCTTTTTTAAAGAGATTTTTGCTATAGGGTGTATGTACTTGTTGAAGAGACAGAGAGAGAAAGAGAGAAACACCCCCCGAGGGGGGACGGCCACACCACAATCCCTTCTCCTCCATTCTTCTCTTGGAATTTTGGGCACGCACACACATGTGCCCAGCATCAGTTTCAGGTCACCAGGTCCAGGACTCGAACTGCGGCTGACTACTGGGAGTCTAGTGACATAATCATTACGCCATCCTTTGGTCCCCAGTATTTTCTTTGAGAGATTTTTGCTACAGGGCATGTACGCTCCATGGAGAGACAGAAAGCGAGATATCGCTCCCCAGAGTGGGTGACCATGCCACCATCTCCTCTCCTTCATTCTCCTCTCAGGATTTTGGGCATGTCACACACAGCATCAAATGACTCTGTCAGCTTTTGATCCAATTCTTCCTCTCACACCTACATTTCATTTGAATTAAACTGTTACTTGTTCTCTTATGCTTTTATTTATCTTCATTTATTTGGCTGGAATACCTTCCCACTGCATCTCTTACTGGTAAAGGACATCCACTGCTAAAGTAAGAGTAATGCCAAATAAAGCTTTATCCAATGTACACCTGAAAATCGGATGTGAGCTCCCCCTGCTGGATCCTCACATCATCTTGCCATTTGCTATACCTTCCTTCTACCACTCTGGTTGTTCTTTCTTGGTTTTCTTTATTGGCTTCTTTCGGTTATTCATCCTTTAAATGTTGGGGTTCCTCAGGATTCTGTCCTGTGCCCTATTTTCTTTCATTCTATGTACATTTCTTGAGCTCTAGTCTATTCCTGTGGGACCAGTTGTAACTAACATGCTAGGTCTGGCCTACACAAGTTCTCTTCAGGGTCAAAGTAGCATAGGTAACCACTTACTGAATCTCTCTACTTCTCTTACATGCATCTTGAGGTCAGTATATACACAACTGAATTCAAGATCTTTTCCCACCAAATTTATCTCAGAGAATGAAGCTACCAGCTACCTAGCTGCTCATATTAGAAACGGAAAGGTCATTCTTTCTCCCACTTTTCCCTCCTTGTTCATGTCTAATGAACTAGTAAATCATGTTAATATTAGCTACTAAATATTTAAAAATTGTGTCCACTTTCCTCCAGATAAACTGCCACTTCGGTCCAGGCCACAAGCACTTTTGCCCCCGTAAATACTGTCATAGCCTTACAACTCGTCTCCCCACCTCCAGACTTGCTACTCCTCAATGCAATTTCCACAATACAGGCTAATCTGAAAACAAGCTTCATTATGGCAGGTCACTGCTTAATATTCTTCAGAGGCTAACCAGAGAAGAAAAAACTCCACAACTCCTTAAACCCAGCTCACAGTGCCTTTGAATAAGGCCCTATCCTTGTCCTGGCCCACTTTGTCCTTTCTCAGTTTACACTCTAAATGTTGGCCATACTAAATTTTATTTCTTCAAACTTGCCATGCCTCACATCACCAAAACCATGCACTCTGTATGCTGCCTTCTGATACCAATACCTGTGCTTTTTGCCCACCTATGCATCATCAGCTTAGAAGTAATTTTTTCCAGAAGTTCCCCTTGACACTCCCTTCAACATACACTCTTACTGCAGTATCCAGTTCATATCACAGCATTCACCCAATATTGTAATTGCTTGTTTAACTATCATTCATTTATTTGACAGTAGTTACTGAGCGGTGACTATATAACAGAAACTGTATTCTCTGCATACAGAATTTCGTCAGTGTAGAGTATTGTTTAAGCATCTAGAGTATGAGAGATGTCCAAGAAATGCTTTCTAGTGAGTCTTTTCCTATATATTTTCATACTAAATCAAACCAGAGTTGACTTCATAATCATTTCTGGGTTCTCTGAATTACCTAACATAGTAGATGGTAGATAAATATTTAATGTCATTAACTGTGGTATTTGAAACACATAAAAAGGATGTATGGGGGCTGGCAGATGGCATGGTGGTTAAAGAGTGCTGGATTCCCACATGGACAACTGTGGTTCAAGTCCCGGACCTGGTGGCTTGCTTTCTCACTTTCCCTCTCTCTCTCATCCTGTTCCTCTGTGGTCAAATTTTAAAAATAAGTAAATAAAAGAAAGTGAAATAAAACTAAAATAATTCTTTAAAAAAAGTATGTGTGTGTCTGTGTAATATAAGAGGCTTCCAATCAGCCATTACTTTCTATTCAGCAGAATTTATCTTTATATCACTTTGGGTACAACAAGTATAAAAAGCAAAGAAGCAAACTATTATAGTAAAAATATGAGGCTTATGAGTCGGAACACTGTGGTTAATAATTCTGTCACTTACTAGATATGTGTCCTTGGTCAAGACCCTTAAACTCTGAGTATCAATTTCCTTATCTGAAAAAGGCAGTTATAAAAATCAAATGAGAAATGACAAAATAAACGCATAGCACAAAATGCAAACAGCTACCTAAAATGTGCTCTATTATTATTATTGTGATTACGATCAACACAGATCAGGTCTCCCTATTACTGGCCACCCAATAAGCTCTATGAGGCAACAGGATTTCCAAATTTCATCTTTCATTTTCCCTTTCCCTTTTAAGAAGTATACTTTGGTACTTCAACAAATGCATACTGATGAAAATGTTTAAAAATATGAAGAAAAACAAGTTAAAATTTAGCAAATGCATGCTAAAATTTTTTTTTTTTTGAGAGGTTTTCGCTATAGGGCGTGTGCGCTCGCCAGACAGACAAAGAGAGACATAAAGACAGAAAGCAAGAAATCACCCCTCAGGGGGGATGGTCACGCTGTAATCCCTTCTCCTCCATTTTCCTCTCGGGATCTTGGGCACGCACGCACATGCGCCCGGCGTGAGTTTTAAGCCACCGGGTCTGGGACGCGAACCGCGGGCAACTATGTGGGAGTCCAGCGACATAGCCATTACGCTAACTGCTGGTTCCCAAATGTATATTAAAATGTTAAAGGAACAGGAAAGAAGCACCAGTCTATGAAAATCTAAAATTTGGATATATGGATCACACAATTGGTCCATTTTCTTTCTTTCTTTCTTTTTTAATGTAGACCGGAAGAGTAGGTGACATGAAAGAGTAATTATCTGAACCATTCTTTAGTAAATGGTAATCCACTGAGCTAAAAAGCCTGGATGTCTGGGTTCAAGAACTAGTTTAGTTACTAACTTAACCACTACTGCCTAATAGTCTACCTACCCAGCACTCTGATCGTTCAGTTCCTCGATCTCCTTGGCTCCTGTCTTTTCTTGCACCTTACCTCAGCCACACACTCCAATGGCCACAGATCTCAAGTGGCCACTCAACTTTGCACGCCTGTGCTGCTAGGCTTCTCTAGTCTCACTGCTTTCCACTATCCAACCTACTTTACACTTTCTGTTCTTCTCTTTTCCCCTTGAACCTTCTACCCAAACATTCCTCCTCACCCCTTACTGATCTTGCCTTATTCCTGTACTTCATAAAGTCAAAGAGAATCAGTACCAAGCAGAAACTTTCACCTTCTGACCACTGAATCTACCCATCTACTGAGTATTTACATCTCTTCCTGTACTCCCTTCTTTTCCTCTTACTACTAGGAAGTGTATGTTCACAGTCACACCAAGGCCAATACTCCATAGTCCGGGCTCCCACTCCCTCTCATTTTTCTCAAAAACTTCACTCTTAAAATATACACATTCTTGGGGCTGGCAGGTGGCATGGTGGTTAAGGATGCTGGACTCCCACATAGCCAACCACAGCTCGAGTCTTGGAGCTGGTGGCTTTCTTTCTCACTTTTCCTCTCTCTATGTCTTGCTCTGTCCTTCTCAGATCAAATTTAAAATGTATAAATAAATAAAGTTAAATAAAAATAATTTAAAAAATACACATTCTCTTAGATCACTACTCCTGTCCCCCTTCTACTGGGTCATTCCCACTAATCTAAAAACATGCTTAAGTATCTCTGTTTTACTAAAAAATAGAAATTTTTTTTTCAAATTTTAGTTATCATTTTTTTTTTTAATTTGCTATAGGGCACACACGCTCACAAGAAAAAGACAGAGACAGAGAAAGCGAGAAAGCAAGCCACTAGGCCTGGGACTTGAACAGCAGTTGGTCATGTGGAAGTCCAGCATCTTAATCACCACGCCACCTGCTGGCTCCTCCACCTTTTATGTTAATTGGAAGATGGCATGAGTGCTCACTAGAAAAAGACAGAAATCACCCCCAGTGGGCATGGTCAACACTGCAATCCATTTTCTACTTCTCCATCTTGTCTACATTGGGGGCATGTAAGTACATGTGCCTGACATGTTCTTCAAGTCACCAGGGCTAGAAATTGAACCATGGTCAGCCACGTGGGATCCAGCTCCCTTACCCATTACAAAGCTGGCTACAAAGCTGGTCCAGGTAACTCATCCTTAAGAACCCTTCTTTGATCCTCACCTATTTCTTCATATATTAACTCCATTTCTTGGAGTCTTTCATATTAAGATATCTTGAGATGTCTATAGTGCTATGTCCCTTTCTTTCTTTCTTTCAAGAGATTTCTTTACCATAGGGTGCATGTGCTCACTGGAGATACAGAGAGAGAGAGAAAGTGAGAAATCATCCCCCAGGAGAGATAGTCATGCTGCAATCCCTTCTCCTCCATTCTCTTCTCAGGATTTTGGGCACACACACAAAGTGTGAGTTTCAAGGTGCCAGGTCTGAGGCTCGAACTGCGGTAGACCATGTGGGAGTCCAGTGTCACAACCACTATGCTACCTGATGGGCCTGCTATGTCCCTTTCTTCATAGCAGTCTCTCATCATTGCACTTGTCAAGGCCCACCACTAGTATACACTGCCAGGATCCAGCACGCACATCTCTATTTACTTGACTCAGCAGGATTCACACCAGTGGCCCGTTTTGTTGTGCTGGTTTGTAGGCTATGACACTCTTTCCATTTCACTGGCTATCCCTCCATCTCCTATCACTTGCTTCTTTCCTGTTTTACCTTTTACACTGGAATGTTATCTAGGAGCACACTTAACTTTAGGTAGCATTTTCTGCATGCCACTGACTCCCAACTTTCTATCTTTGGTGTGCCCTCTGCACAGAATTCAGGGCTCAGAACTCACCTCAGAGTTCTAATAAGCATATCAAGATGAAGGTAAGCAAAATAAAACTCCATGCCCACCCCTCTTTCTTCCCTAGTCGTCTCCTCTTGGTAAATGGCACAAGCATCCACTCTAGCTCATGACAAAACCTAGGAGTGAAAGGTGACTTCTTTTTTTCCTCACCTCTATATTCAAAACATCAAAAAATCTGTAGGTTCTGCCTCCAGAAATATATCTCATATACATCTACTTCTCTGCCACTTTACCCCAACCTTTTCTACTCCTTGGAATCCACAACTGTCTTCTACTAATCTTGCTCCCACCTACTCTGACCATTTATTTCAAAACAGCCCAAACCAATCTTTGTACAAGGTAAATCAGATGATATCACTCCCTTCCCCAAAACTCACTGATTTCTCATCCCACTTTAAAGAAATTCCAAACATAGAGCATGGGAAGAGCTCTGGGGCTATTCAAAGCCCTACACAACCCAACCCCTTCCTAGCTCGCCAGGCTCACCTTGTACATCTGAACCTTCCAGCTACAGCAAACTGTGATGTCTTCAAACGGGCTGAGCTCGTTCCTATCCCAGAGTTTCTACAGTGGGAGATGCCTTTACCCAGAATGCTCTGGTGACAAGTATTTCCATGGCTGGATTTCTTACATCACTTTGGTCTGAGCAGAAAGGACAGATTTTCAGAGAGGCCTTCCCTAGCCCATCAGTCTAAAGTAACCCTTCCTCCATTCCCTCTCCCTTCACTGTTTCACCTCTCATTGCACTTCCCATTCTCCAAAATTCTTTGTCTGTATTTTGTTTACCTGTTTTACCTTCTATATCCCTCACTAGATTTTTTTTTTTTTTTGGAGAGATTTTTCACTGTAGGGTGCGTGCACTCGCCAGACAGACAGAGAGAGACATAGAGACAGAAAGCGAGAAATCACCCCCCAGGGGGGATGGTCACGCCGCAATCCCTTCTCCTCCATTCTCCTCTCGGGATCCTGGGCACGCACGCACACGTGCCCGGCGTGAGTTTTAAGCCACCGGGTCTGGGACACAAACCGCGGTCGACTACGTGGGAATCCAGCGATATAGCCATTACGCTAACTGCTGGTTCCCCCTCCCTCACTAGATTTGCAACTCCATAAAAACAGGGATCTTGCTAGTTTTTCTTATCACTGTATTTACAATGCTGAATATATTGCCTGGCAAAGGAGGAGACTCTCATCACATTATTTACGATGAGAGGACCTTCTCAAGACCAGCAGGCAATACCTGGGACAGCTCCAACCACAGCGCATGTGCAGCTCATTTTCCCATTTGCAGATTTACCACTGGATTATATAATACAGCCAGTGCTTAACTCCACACACAGGTCACCCGACTTCTTTACTGTAGACACGTCCGTGGGCTTACCTTCCACTAGACTTAGCTCTGGGTCCAGGGAGAACAACAGTGGATAAAACAGGACTCTTCAGGAACTCATCCGTTCATTCCTTCAACAAACATTTACTGAATGTTTATTATACTGTGTTGCAGGTACTGTTAGCATTTAGTTCCCTCCCCAGTAAAATGGGGTTTTGTTAAACTCATCTCTCACAAGTGTATAAACAGGATGAGTATGAAAATAATGTACAAAATAAGAAGATCCAAAAAAAATGGTAGGTTATATATTACTATTATTCCATTTGCCCCTTTTGTCTGGTAATGAGTAGGAGTTTAAACAAGAGCCAGCCAGGAAAAAAAAAAGCAGTCTAAATTCTGGTACTCAGAGATGGCAATAAATACGAATGCTCTTTTCAAAGCCACATAGTGACTAAAATCTTTGGTTATTTTTGTTTTAAAAAAAGAATTATTATTTTTTAAATTTGCTATAGGGCAGGTGTGCTCACTAGAGACAGATGAGAGATGACAGAGAAAGTGAGAAAGGGAGAAAGCAAGCAGCCAGGTCCCGGACTCAAACCATGGTCGGCCCTCTGGGAATCCAGTGCCTTCACCACTGCCACCTGCTGGCCCCAATGACTAAACTCTCTAATACACTAATTCTCTGGGAGTGATACCAGCGAGTGTTAATTGTCTACATTCTGTGTCACTAATAACAACTGTATTTACCCCTAGGGAAAATCAGGAAGGGAGGTGTGACCTTATTCCGCCAACGGGGCCCCTCGCCCCTCCCCATCACTGAACCCTGCACAGGCCCGGGGACCACAGACGGCCGTCAGGGACCGGAATGGTCCTGGGCTGTCACTGAGCAGGTGCCTGACACACCCTGGGCGCGCCACAGTCCTCCTTAGCCCTTCAAAAGCCTCAGTCCACCGCCACACAGCCGACAGGCACACATGGGAGCCGCCCTGGGGCGCGAGAGCCTTCTCAGGACCGGGCCGTGTCCGCGCACAGGTGCAGCTGAGCTGGTTTGCCCGTTTGCAGATTCACCACTGGGTCACACGACACAGCTAGTGCTTAATAAAATGAACTGCGCAGCCCATCTTGACCGACAGGCCCCTCTCTCTTACTTGCGAGGACCCGTTCACAGGCGGGAAGTTGAGAACAGAGAGATGGGGGACGAGGGAGTGCGGACGAGCTGGGGAGGGGCGGCTGTTTCCTGGGGTCCGGGAACGGCCGCGACGTGCGCTCCATGAGCGGAGGACGGGCGGCGTTCCTAGGGGAGGAGAAGGGAAACGGGCGCGGAACCGGAGGGACTTCCGGGGCGAGTCACGAAAATGGGCCCTACCTACAGCTCCTTTAGCAGCCCTCGCCTGCCCGGAGCCGCCCAGGTGCCCAGCAACCGTCGTGTAAACCACGCGCCGCTCGGGGCGGGGCGGCTGGCGGTAGGCGGGGCTGGCAGCGGCGCGCTTAAGTGACGTAGTGCCCCAGCGCCCGCGGACGCTGGTGTTCCGCGCGTCCTGGGGCCACGTGTGTGCATTTGTTCTACGCAACCCTGTGCTTTCGACGTCTGCTCTGAATAGCCACCTATCAGGTGTATGATGGAAATCGAGGGACGGAGCCAGCGTCTCTGGGCATTTCAGCCAAGAAGCAGCGCCAGGGACTGCGTGTGCTAGTAGTAACTTGTCAACACTCGGATACGTTTTCTCCGAAGTCAGCTTTGATGTAGTGCAGTGGGAAAACAGCAGTCTCTGGGGTCAAGACCGCACTCACAGTTCAGCTGCCACTTCCTAGCTATGGGCCACAGGCAAACACAATCTCCCAAGCTTGTTTTCGCATCTGTAAGAAATGCGGTGGTGCTGTGAGCATAAATGAGACATGGCCAGTGTTTGGAACAGGGCTCGGTGCAAAGTAAGCTCTCAGCATACCTATAGTCAGTAGAGAACCTCTGCGGTGGTTGTGTGTGGGTGTCAGTTCTGTTGTGTTTTGCACAGAAAATCTTATGTAGACACTTTCACCTAAAACCATGAAAGCAGAAGTGCTGTGGTTGGGGCCAGCAGGTGGCGTGGTGGTTAAGGACTCTGGACTCCCACATGGCTGACTGCAGTTCAACCCTTTACTTGGCAGCTTGTTTTCTTACTTTCCCTTTCTCTCTCTCTCTCCCTGGTCAAATTAAAATAAAACAAACAAATAAATAAAGTTAAATAAAATAATTATTAAAAAAAAAAAAGTGCTGTGGTTGAGGGCGGGTCCAGGAAGTTTGAATTTTGATCTCAAAGGTGGTCGTCAGGTTCCCCTAAGGAATCCCTAAGCTTCCTAAAATAGACTAAAATCTACCGTTATTGGACAAAGTCCAAGCTTAGAAAGTCAGACTGCCCTTTTAACTTTTCTCCAGATACTCAAAATATGAACTCCTGAACACTGTTATTTCCTTTTTGCTCAGTGTTCTCTTTCCTTGAAATTAGTTCATTTACTGGGAGTGTTCCCTTTCTCCTTTTCTTATTCATCACTTAAGATCTGATTAGAATTTCAACTCTTTCTTGGATGACTGAATAAGAAATTATCTTTCTATTGTTACAAGCTTCTACCTCAGTGGTATAGAGGACATCTCCACAAGGACTGAATTGTCCTTTGTTTTAGGGAGCTGACGGCCTTCGTGATTATTGGGCTAAGGGAATACTTGTCTCATGATATAGAAGGGAAGGGGTAAATTTCCTGGTACTCAGAGGAGAGACAAATAATAGATCTGGGAGGGGGACCTGTGTTAGGAGTTTGATGGCATCCAGGGCACTATTGCTCTAGACGCAATGAACACTTGCCAAGTTAAGTGCTTTAGGGTCCAGGTTAGGAGGGTGGGCACATCAATAAGTTGAGTTTGGAATTCTCACCAGGTCAGAGGGATCACACCTCATGTAATTTGGTTAATAAACTGAAAATGTGTTATTACTTGCTCCCAAATTGGCATGAAACAATCCCCTCCTGGTATGGAGAATTACATAAATGATTCATGTAGAAATAAAATGTTCCAGAACATTTAAAAAAATACTGTCTTTCATTTATTTAAAGAACATATAATGAAAATTGAACAATGTTTAAAACAGCATTTAAACAAACATTGGATAGTTTTTCTTATAAAAAATAGTAATTTAAAAATAATTGAATTAATTATATTTGCAACAGTGCCCTGGAATGTAAAGAATTTTTGAGGAACAAGAATAACCTCACTCATGACTGCATTGTTTCACTAAAATTGACATGAACAAAGTTTTAAGACTGTCTTCCACACAAATGGTTTCATGCTTCAGTAAAAATAAATATTTGGCCAGTGGTATATTTAGTATGATTTCAGTGCCAACTGTCTTTGCTAGTCTTATCTCCCACTAAGTCTCTTTATTTCAAGTGCCAACCTCTTACAGTCCAGGGCTTTACTGTTTTCAAACCTTGCTAATGTGCCAGCTTTCCTCTGACTCACTGTAGTCTTTACCTTACTCCGCTATACCATACCATCCATCTGAATCCTCCGTACTCCTGAAGGTCCAGTTCAAGTGTCAGCTCCTCTTAAGAAGTTTTCCCCAATTTCCCCACTTAGACCACTTTTGAATCATTCATTTGGATGACAGCTGCTTGAACATATTTCTTTGAAAGGTTCTTGAAGGCAAATATCTTATCTTACTCATGTCTGTATTTCCCACGCTTCTCACTAGAATTCAAGTTCCACTGAAAACAGTCCTTGAATATCTTATTCATCGCTGTTTCCCAGAATCTGCACAATGCCTGGCACGAAGTACACATGTTGTAGGTGTATTTCGAATGAGAGAATGAGTGTACTTTGAAACAAGCTCCAGGAAGGTAGGAATTTGATTTATTCATTGCAAAATGAATACTTGAATATTACCAGATGAATAAATGACTTTTGCAGGTTTAGTATTCACGATGTACAGCAAAAATTCTTCAATCTGTCTCCACAAAAATTGAATATAAAATACTTGTCTTACCTTTTTTCTAACTATTGGGTTGTTGGAAAAGTCATGATGTATTTTTTTCTGTTTTTCTATGCAAAACATGACTTTTCCAAGCCTTAATAAGTTAGTAGATTTAAAAAAAAAAAAGACATCTTTCAGAACTATGGGGGTAACGTTTTTAAAAGAAAGAAGGTATTTATGTTAAGAGTAGTTGCAGTAATCTCGTGTTCTTTACTGTGTTCTAAATTTTCTGCAATGAAAATGTATTATTTTGTAATTAGAAAACATACTGTTCTTAATGAATATGAATGAGATCATTTGATGATGTATAGTTGAGATTATTTTGAGGCCATCTAAGTTCAATTAAGGTTATTTGGAGTTAATAATACTGGAGAGAAAGAGGCTGGAATGTGACAGTAACTTAAGCTGGAACCTAATCAGTCTGTCTGGGAAAAACAAAAACACTTCTCAGAAAGGAGAGAGCACTGAGCCTAGCAAACAGGAGCATCGAAGACCAAGAAGTTAGAGTTTAACACTGCCCTTGGAATATGACAGTCCTGTTATGGACTGAATGCTCTCCCCGCAAAATTCATATATTGAAGCTTTAATCCCTAATGTGATTATATGTGGATATGGGGATTTGGGGGAAATAATTAGGTTTAGGTGAGGTCATGAGGGAAGGGCACTAGGGATGTAATTACAGTGCCTTTATTTTGTTATTAAGTGTTTGCCATAGGGCACGTGCATTCACCGGGGAGAGAGGGCAAGAGAGGGAGACATAGAGGCAGAGACAGTGAGAGGGAAAGGGAGAAATCACTTCCTGGGGATGAAGGGATGTGTGGGTGGTGGCCATGCCACCATCTTTCCTCCTCCATTCTCCTTCTGGGATTTTGGGCACACATAAACTCAGGCCTGGCATGTTTTTGAAGCCTCCAGGTCTGAAGCTGAAACCATGGTTGGCTATCTGGGAGTCCAGGCCTTAATCATGTCACCAGCTGGTCCTGATTAGAGTGCCTTCATAGGAGACAACAGAAGGCTTACTTTCTCTCTGCTCAACCTGTGAGGATGTAGTGAGAAGGTGGCCACTGTTAAGCTGAAATAAGTTTGTTGTTTAAGCCACTGAGCCTATGGTGTTTTGTCACAGGAGCCCAGTCTGACTAGGACAGACTAAGCCGGCTGCGATCTGAACGGCTATGTGACAATTTTCTGTGCTGGTGGAAGATAGCCTCACTGACTCAGTAAATGTTTATTAAGTGCCTACTGCGTTCCACGCCCTGTGCAAACTGCATGGCCATAGCAAGGTTCCCTCCCTTACAGGCTAACAGATGACAAATATGTAAAACAAATTTTAAAAAACATTATATGTGCTCTGACAGAAGTAAATATAAGGGACCCAAAGGTGAGAGCAATCGTTTCTATCTGCAGTTAGCGTGGGAGTGGCTTTGGTTGGCCAATACTATGGCATTAACTTTCGTGAAGAAAGTCAAGGGAGTGTGGCTTTCAATGTGAGGACACCCAAGACTTTATACGGTGAGCTCTGCAGAACACTTGCTTTTTCTCTGACCTCACCATCTCTATTCTCTATACTAGCAACATAATCCAGCAATGAATAAATTCCTAGAGTTTCCAATAATAGGCACAAATTTCTCAGATTCGGTGGAGAAAGCCAAAATCCAGAAGGGACAGTCGTTGAGGTTACAGGGTGGCTGCCCACCTAGGAGACGTAGGATGGACATCCTGCATGTCCTGAGAAATGGAACAGGCTTTTGGGGAATGGCTTAATGCACCCATCAATCATTTCCACACTGCGAATATCCATTTACAGTTTTCCTTTGGGGCCCTGAATCTTTTTAACAGCATTACGACTTAGTTATATCAATTGTGTCAAGTAGAGGTTAGTAAGGACCCGAAGCCTGCTACTTGAAGACAATGCTACTGATGATCTGGGAGCAGCTCTCATGGCGTAACCTTTGACCTCATATTCCTCTCGCTAGCTGTCTCAATCACCCCTCAGCTGAGGCCTTGCTTTCTCTTGGAAGTTGTGCCTCAACCTCAGTCCCCCTGAATTGACTGAGTGCTCTTGCATGCATCCCCAGCACCCCTGTACCCCCTGCATAATGGCATTTATACAGTTTTACAATCTCTTGTTTAATTATCTGTCTCCTCTATTGGACTGTAAAATACTTAAGGACAGGAATAGGATTGGCCTTGATGTGCCTGGGTCAACAAAGGCTTTCAGGATTTGTCAAATGAATCTAGTTTCAAAGCTTGCAAACAGAGGGCCAGAAGAGCTCTAAGATTATGGTACCCCCACCAAAGTGCACCTAACCAATAAAGTTCAGCTGCACACCCACTTAACCTACAGTATAAATTAGTCCACTCCAAACTGAGAACACGGACCGTAGAGGCAGGCTGACATTAAAATGAAGGCTTTTCTGGGACTAGCAGATGGCATAATGGTTACATCACTGGACTCTCATGTAGTCGACTATGGTTCGAGTCCTGCACCCAGAGGCTTTAAACTCACACCAGGTGTGTGTTAGTGCATGCCCAAAATCCTGGAGGAGAATGAAGGGATTGTGGCATGGCCATCCTCCTTGGGGCAGAGTTCTAGCTTTCTGTCTCTGTCTTTCTGGTGAGCACACGCACCCTACAGCAAAAACACTCTCTCAAAAAATAAAAACAGGGACCAGCAGGTGGCATGGTGGTTAAGACGCTGGACACTCCCACATGGCTGACCACGGTTCAAGTTACGGACCTGGTAGCTTTCTCTCTCTCTCTTACTCTCTCTCTCTGTCTCTCTCTGGTCAAATTAAAATAAAATAAATGAATAAATAAAATTAAATTAAAATAATTTTAAAAGTTATTAAAAAAACAAACAACAAAAAACAAAGAATGCTGTTTAGAAGAGACAAATATTAGTTTTTCTCCCCTTTATTCATGATAGAGTCTGTGTGCATACACGAGAGAGAGAGAGAGAGAGAGAGAGAGAGAGAAGCACCCTCCCTAGGGTCTGGTCATACTGTGCTCTTTCTCAGGCCTCCAGCCTGCTAGATCTTGGGCATACCGCCCAGCATACTTCAGGTCAACTAGGCCAGGGATTGGACTCGTGGTCACCACATGGGATCAGCTTCTCTTTAACAGCCTGTTACTAGTTTTTGTTGTTGTCGTTGTTTAATTGATTGATTGATTGATTTTACTATAGGGCATGTGCACTTACTGGAGAGACAGAGAAAGAGAGAGAGGAAAAGTGAGAAATCATCCCCTGGGGTGATGGTCTTATTGCAATCCCTTCTTCTCCATTTTCCTCTTGGGATTTTGGGCACACACCTGGCATATCTTTCAAGCCACCAGGTCTGGAACTTGAATCATGAAGTCAGCCATGTGGGATCCGTTGCCTCGACCACCACCCCCAACCTAGTTTTTAATAGTGTCAAAGTCAGCGTGAAAAGGGCTGGAATGGTAGTTAGATAAAAAGTGGACAGGCTCTGTGCAGGTTATCTTGGGGATAAGGACATTCATCATTCATTCATTTAATACATATTTAACATCTACTTCAAGATCAAACTTTGAATTCTAGTTTAAAGGGTTCTGATGGGATATGACAAGGTATACATACAACATGATAAAAGCTTTAAATTATATTTAAACGTGATCATCTTAGCAACTAGGCAGAAGAACTTAGGTGATCCCACAAAAGCAGACATGACCTGCTACAAAGTGGGATAAAACGTGACTGCAGATAAGTCTGTCTTCTGATATCTTCTCTGCTGGTGTCCCACAATGTCAAAAATTCATGCCACAGAAGTCACTCCTTTGGTTTAAGATACCGTCTTTGAAAAGCTTTTGTTAACACGCAGGAGTATGTGACGAAGCGATAACACCCAACAGAATAGCTCTGTTCTCACAAACTCCTCTTCTGTTCCTCCAGGAATATGGGTGCCTAACTAGACTACACTTCTCGGTCTCCTCGCAGCGGGATGCGGCCATCACCAACAGGATGCCAGAGGACAGAGGGTTCAGTCGCCACATCACTTCCTGAAAGCTGAATTGCTTTACTTGCATGTTCTTTTCTTCTCCTTCCTGAGGGCTAGAAAGGAGCCGTGGGGGCGATCCGTCTTTAACCCACATCCTATGCTATACAGCACAGCAGAGCCTCATGACTGGAAGACTCGGAAGAGAGGTCTCTGAGCAGACCTCCTGAGCAGAGCTACCCTGTCGGCATCAACCAACTAGCTGATTTCATAGGAAGGAAGCACATTTCTATTTTCTTCACTATAGCAGCTTATATTACCGTAACTAAGGTAGTCATAAGGAGACCATCGTAGGTTTGAAAATGAACCATCTCTAAACCAAAAACTGGAGTCTGAAAATGTGGGTCACAAAAAATGAGTACGAAAGGGCTGGCTTGGGGCACTCCCTGGGGCTGGGCCACTGACATGGATGTCAGGAAGCCCTCTAGGGAGAGAAGGACTTCTGCGTCCAGAGGGGACAAGAGGAAGAGCCAACGAAGACATCTCGTGTGCTTTATGGTTCTGATGGGACCAGTCAGTTTCCACAACTCACACAGAGATAGTAATAGAAGTGCAAATGGAGAAGAGGCAGGTTAGCAAGTAAAGTGAGGGTGGGAACTGATGAGGGACTTCATTATGGGGTTTAAAACATAAAAGGAAGAGGAGCCAAAAACAACAAGGCATGTGTGTGTAGGTGAGCATGTGTCATGAAACCCACAGTGAGTGAGTCCAGAGCTGCTGCTGGCCTGCAGAAGAGACACCAACATAGTCATCTCCATGCTGCCTTTAAGTTATGATGGTGTGTTAAATAGGTCCGTCCTTACACAAATTAAGATACATGATGAAGGGGCATTAAACAAAATGGAAGGCGGAGAGATTAGGGTTGGATGCGAAGCATTAGTCCCTACGAGGAAGGGCTGAAGACACTACTCACAGAAACAGCTTCACTTTTGGTTCTGTGACATTTGAAGCTTAAGCATTACTTATTTTCATATCCTCCTTGATAAAAGTAGTATCTGGTAGCAGCTTTTCTAATCATTATGTTCACTTTTTCACCTCTAAACTTGTACAGAAGACTCTCCTTGAACTTCTTCTTGATTTTGAGGTTCAGTTTTTTGGAGAAGCTTGGGGCCCAGCAAACCAATAAGTAGACTTCCAATTGGGGCAGTCATAAGGATGGCCAAAAATGCCCCCGTCAGCACATCCATTCCATATCCTTCTAACTGTTTCTCTCCATGTGATCTTGCTGTGTCCAAAGCCACAGATCCTATGGCAGCCTATAAAAGTTTAAGGGTTAAGTTGGAAACGTGATTAAGGTAAGGACATGTACAAAAAAGGGGGCAGTTATTTTATCATTTGCAAAAACAAATCGCTTGTTATTTTGCTCAACTAAGAAAGTTCTATTAGTCTTCTTTCAAAGTGTACTACTGTTGGATTTGATTTTCCAAGAACCCTCCCTGCCCTTGCATGGGGACAGACATAAGATTCATATGTACCTATTTGTATAAGGTAGTGTTACATAAACAACAGGCAAATGCATTATAAAATACAAGGTAAATACGGACTCACAATATAAATTAAATATAACACTAAGTTTTACATATTAAATTTCTCCTGAGTAAAGCTCAATGTTATTGGTCCTCTCATTCTTTATCTTTAGGAATTTAGAATTAAGAAAGAACAAGATTTAAAAAAACAAACGAACAAACAAAAGACTGTTACTTATTGGAAAATGGTGAAATTTTAAATGAATATGTATTCCTTTAGGGCCTAAACCAATCATCAAACACTATGACATAGGAAAGTGGCAGGCACCTTCAAAACTTAATCTTACTAGGTAATTTTGTTAATTCTCTGCCTCAGAATTATTAAAATGCTTTCTATTTAAAATGTACCTATTGGAAAGTATTATGAAAACTTCCATTTTCTTTTAAATGAAAAAGGCAACATTATCAGTACCCATGAGAAAAAACTGTATTAATCGATAATTATTTGCTCATTCCACAGAGCAGAACAATGTCAGCCTCCAGAAGAATGAAATGAGAAAACACGCAGGTGCATCCGACATGATAGCAGAGACTACCAGTCTCCCGTAGATGCCTGAATGCCTCGTTTCCCTTCTGTACTAGAGTGCCTTAGTTTTATCACTCTCCAGACAGAGACTTTTTTTTCAGCGTCTTTTACAACTAGATACAGCTGTGTATCTCAGTTCTGGCCATGGAGACGTGAGTGGAAGTGATAAATGTTACATACAGACTGTTCCCTAAAAAAGAATGCACGCACTCTATCCTTTTCCCTTTTCCTATCGAATGAGAGAAAGTGAAAGCTGGGCCCACAGACAGAAGGCAGATCCTGAGGATGGTAGTCATCCTGCCAGCTCTGGAATATCCATGCTGGGCTCTCAGTGAGAGAAAACCCAAGATCTACCTCATTTAGTCGTTTTATGTGGAGGCTCTTCGTTACACGCCTTACTCTGTCTGATAACTAATCCGACATTCTATGAATTCTTGGCAAGAGCTGCATACATTACCATGTACGGTCCATTACATTACCATGTTTATTTCTCTCTCAGTTCTCTGTTCCATGCATGCGTGCCTTAACCTATCATTGCATTGCTAACAGAAATACCTGACACTGGGAGATCTATAAAGAAATATAGGTTGGGAACCAGCAGTTAGCGTAATGGCTATGTCGCTGGATTTCCACGTAGTCGACCGCAGTTCGCATACCAGACCCGGTGGCTTAAAACTCACGCCGGGCGCGTGTGCGTGCGTGCCCAAGATCCCGAGAGGAGAATGGAGGAGAAGGGATTGCGGCGTGACCATCCCCCCTGGGGGGTGATTTCTCGCTTTCTGTCTCTATGTCTCTCTCTGTCGGTCTGGCGAGCGCACGCGCCCTATAGCGAAAATCTCTCCAAAAAAAAAAAAAGAAATATAGGTTTATTGACTTGTAATTCTGACAGCTGGGAAGCCCAAAGAAGCAGACCTCACATCAGACCAGCCTTCAGTGTGGCAGATGGAAGCACAGAGGGTGGCAGGGGCATGCAGTCAGCAAGCAAGCTTTGGCCACTGTCCTTGGTAATAACTGACACTCGGTCAGAGAGCTAGAACTCCCTGGGCCTCGGCACACCATTAATCTATGCAGGAGGTGGCACCCTCAATGTAACCACCACGAGCCAGTCACTGCACGCTTGGCATCACCACCTCCCAACACCAAATCCCAAACATGAAACTTTGGGGGACAAACCACGATCCAAATCATAACCCCGTGTATGTGTGTGTGGGTCTTTGTATGCAGGCTGAGTTAGTTGTGATTTAATGTATTTTTATTTTATTTATTTATTTAAATTATCTTACTTAACTTTATTTTATTTTTTTTAACTTGATCAGAAAGGGACAGAGTGAAAGAGAGAGAGAAAAGTGAGAAAGCAAGCCGCCAGGTCCAGAACCACAGTCAGCCACGTGGGAGTCCAGTGCCCTTAACCACCACGCCACTTGCTGGCCCCTTAATGTATTTTTCTTACAGTAGGTCATGTTGGGGGAAAAAAGTTTGAAAAACACTTTTCTTGTGCAGTGCCAAAAGAAGAAAAAAGAAAATTCAGGATTGCACTTGCTTCCATAGAATATATATTATCTAACACATCCTAGAAAATCTCATTTTAGAATTTGCTTCAGTGGTAGAAAAGTGCCAATATTTCAAATTTTAACATTTAGAAACAAATCTTTCATTCCTAAGGTACTAGGGTCATTATTTTGATATTCACCTATGGAAAGTCATCAGAAATCATGTGGCAGCTGGAGACACCGTGAGGGAGAAACGGCTCCCATTATTTTTTTATTTTTTTTTTTCGGAGAGGTTTTCACTATAGGGCGTGTGTGCTCGCCAGACAGACAGAGAGAGACAGAGATATAGAAAGCGAGAAATCACTCCCCAGGGGGGATGGTCACGCCGCAATCCCTTCTCCTCCATTCTCCTCTCGGGATCTTGGGCACGCACGCACAAGCGCCTGGCGTGAGTTTTAAGCTACCGGGTCCGGGACGCGAACTGCGGTCGACTACATGGGAGTCCAGCGACATAGCCATTATGCTAACTGCTGGTTCCCACGGCTCCCATTATTGTACTCCATTATTTCCATGGCATCCTAGTCATTGTATCTCAATCATCTTTGAAAGTCTGATGGAAAAATTTCTGTGGGGACCAGCAGATGGCATAATGGTTACATCACTGGACTCCCACATAGTCGACCTGGCGGCTTGCAACACACCAGACACATGTGCGAGCGTGCACAAAATCGTGAGGGGAGAATGGAGAAGGGATTGTGGTGTGGCTACCCCTCCCGGGGGGACGATTTCTCTTTTTCTCTTTCTCTGTCTCTTCAGTGAACATACGTACTCTACAGGAAAAAATCTCTCTCTCAAAACAAAACAAAACAAAACAAAAAGCTTCTCTGGAATAATTCCCAAGCCCACAGCCATACAAAATCTGGAATATAATTACGAAGCACACACATGCCCCCAAAGCCTCATAATTTAAGAACACTTGAGTATCTTTACAAGAAAATAAAAATTTGCATATTTAAGTAATTGCAAAACAATCAGAGAAGGCACAGTTAAATCTTGTTTGATGTAATTAGTCTGAAAACAGACAATATAGTCAGGGATATATTACATTTGCAACAAGTCATAATCTATACAGTTCTAATTTAATTAGAATTAGGTATAATACCAAATGCATAGTCAACACTTTTAAGGAGCTATCTACATGTGTTTTCTTTATCATTTGTTCAAGTGCACAAATTTTGGGTCAAGTGATTGAGACATTTGTCAGGATCTTCAGCTAGGTCTGAATAATTAATATCAACTCTAGGAACTTATAATATAGAAAATCAATAAAGCATTTTCTGAGTCGTTCCCAAATAAGTCTAATTTTCTCCAGTATGTATAAAGATTGTGAAGCATAATTGATCATCAAGCGTACTGACATTGAAGTATTTCTACACATTAAGGTGGGCTACACAATACCTGTCATTCCCTTCTTGAAAGTCATTGAAATGAGAGGAGTATATCTCTCTCTCTCTCTGGGTGATTTAGAGAGTGCTAACTGATAAAACTTCAAATCCTTCCTCTTGTTACTACTTCATCCCAATAGGGTGGAGATTTATTGGAGTTTTATACCCTAAAGAAACTTAAATTAGCTATCACATGTGAGGAATCCATATTCCAAAAATAAAAAAAAGTTAAAGAGTATATTAGTATAAACTCTTTTTCATAAATTACGCATCTTTACCAAATTTAAATACGCCCTCTCATTCAACACTTTAAGGTCTCATATAGAAATAGTGGTTGAAATCATCCCGCCCCGTCATTACCTGGACTGTGGCCTTGGGAAGCCATGCAAAAGAAATAAATAACTTTTCCTTTATGTTAAAACCAGCAAAACACACCATCAGAAATGTTGTCAAAATTCGTATCAATACAGCAGTGCTCAGGGTGGCAACACAAAGCCCTGTAAGAAATACTCGATTTTTAGAAATAATTAAATACTAGGGGGTAAATTACATTTCATGGTTACTGATTCAAAATACTAGCAACAGAAATAATTTTAAAGCATTAAAAAAATAAAAATACAAAAAGAGGAGGTATAATTTATCATAATATCAGTATTAGGCCATGAGGTGGCGTGGTGGTTAAAGTGGTAAACTCCCACATGGGAGACCATGGTTTGAGTCCTGGACCTGGTGACTTACTTTCTTGCTTTCCCTTCCCCCCTTCTCTCTGGTAAAATAATAATAATTATTATTAATAATAATAATAATAAAGCTAAATAAATAATTCCTAAAAACAAAAAGAATAAGTCAGACCATTAGTTTAAAACAAGTTGTTTCCCTCAGAGTAAAACAGGAAAACAGACATATTCGAATTCTTTATTTATTTAGCCACAGGGGGGAGGGGGTGTATGGAAAGAAGGCAGCCTGCAGAAGGGGTGGCCACGCCACGGTCCCTTCTCCTTCGTTCTCTCGGGATTTTGGGCACGCAGGTATACACACCCCTCATGTCTCCTAACCCACTGGGTCCAGGACTTGAACCATGCAGCCGGCCATGTGGGATCCAGCCACATTGACCATCATGCCAACATCTGGCCCCATATTTTAATACTTACAAAGGAGGTTTGTAACTGGAATATATTGAGGGAGGAAATCAGTTGAAGTGGAAAAGGGGAATGTATTTACCCTTTTGGAAAAATTTGAAAAAAGGAAGAAAGGGAGCATGATAGATGAAGGATAAATTAAGTGGAGAAAATATATACTGTTTAACATATCATTTAATCTTAAGATATGCACGTTTTAATTTTTTTTCAGTTTTTACCATAGGTTGCATTCACGTGCTAGAGAGAAACAGAGATGGAGAAAGGGAATGTGAGGCATCACTCCCCGGGGGGATGTCCACATCACAATCCCTTCTCCTCTGTTCTCAGGATTTTGGGCACGCATGCATGTGCCTGGTGTGATTTTTAAGCCACCAGGTCTGGGACTTGAACTGTGGTCGGCCACGTGAGAATATAGCACCTTGACCACCAGGCCACCTGCTGGTCCCCACAATTTATTTTTTAAGTGCAGTCCTGTGACTCAAAGAGTTTCAATATGATGTCTTTTAAGTGTATGGGTGAATAAAAGAATGAATGAACATACATTTCTATTTCATGTGTACACATTACAGAACTAATTATCTCAAGTAATCTGGCCCATGGTCAGAACAGCCTGGATGAACATTTTTACCCTTAGAAAAAATAATTTAAGGCTTGAATTTTCTGAATAGTGGTCAGTACTAGTATTCTTTTTTCTCTCTCTCTCTCTTTTTTTTTTTTTTTTTGTGATAGGGCACATGTGCTCACTAGAGAGAGACATCCCTCAGAGGAATGGCCACGCTACACTCCCTTCGCTTCCATTCTCCTCTTGGGATTTTGGGCAGACATGCACATGCGCCTGGTGTGATTTTCAAGCAGCCTGGGTCCAGGACTCCAACCATAGAGTTGGCTTTGTGGGATTCAGCGCCATAACCTCCACACAACCCACGGGCATTATTTTCTCATCAACTGCTCTGAAAAGACTAAGACCCGGCTGGGCCCACAGCTCAGCAGTTAAGTGCTCTGCAGAGAAGACAGATACCACATGATAAATCAGGATCAAGTCTCAGCCCTGGTGGCTTGAAAAAGCATGCCAGGTGCATGCCTAGATCTTGATGGGTTGGAGAACTGGAGAAAGAAGGATTTCATTGTTACCACGCCCTGTTAAGAAGGTTCTTTCTTATTGTACATCTCCCCCCCCACCACCTCCCCTCTTTTCCCCTGGCTAGCATACATGCACACATGCCCTCTGGCAAGGAAATAAAAGACTTAGATCATAATTTTTATATACCGGTGACATTGAGAACCACTGAAAACATCTACTGCAAATATTTAAACTGAATATAAGAAGGGTTAATTTCAGCAAAGATACCACTCTGAAATTCTTACCAACAGTTTCTGGCCTGAGAGAGGCGATGGATACCTCTGCTCCAATCAATCCAAAAAGAAGGGGCTGAAAAATGTCCCAGATCACAGCAATAATCTTTTCAACCTCTGCCTGAAAGAAAACAAACCAAACATACACATGCACATATTTGTATTACATGAAAATACAAATACTAAGAATTTTTTTTATTGATTTGAAGTTTGAGTCATTGGTCTGGCACAGGCTTTATTTGTGACATTTATAAGGAAGAGATTAGCTAGAACAGCAAAAAAATAAAAAAATATATATATATGAAGATTTTTTTTTTGGAGAGGTTTTTGCTACAGGGTGTGTGCACTCACCAGAGAGACAAGAGAGAGAGACAGACAGAAAACGAGAAGTCACCCCCAGTGGAGATGGCCACGCCGCATGTGCCCGGCATGAGTTTAAGCCACTGGGTCCAGGACTTGAACCACGGTCGACTACATGGGAGTTCAGTAACATAGCCATTATGCTAACTGCTGGTCCCTATATGAAGACATTTCTAAGACACTTAAGATATACGAAGTGCTTTAACACCAGTCATTGGTTCACAAATGGATAATTATAAAGATTCCTACAAAGCACTATTAGGAGAATTCCTACTTCTGAAAACATGTGTGCATGTGTTGGCAGGTGTACATACTGTATTAGACGGTACTGTTTTGTAGTTTAAGCGTTCATGTTTTTATAGTTTTACTGAAGAATGGCGTAATTGGAAATGATCATGTTCCCCTTCCCTGCTTTTTCTTTCTGGGCCTGTAGGCTCTGTGTACTCAGGTGGAAATAATCCCCCTGATCCTCCCATTGCTGAAAGAACTCTTTTATGCTCCATTCCACATGGTGTGGCCCCTTCTCATTGTTCAATCTTTCTAGCCTATCACTTATGAATTGAGAGACATCATTTTAAACAGCAGAGCTTGGGAGTATAATGTTTTAGAAATACTGGGTGTGTGTTCATCTAGCAGAGACCAGCATACAAAGGTGTGCACCATACCACCTGCAGACTGCAGGGCACTACGGCTGGGGGATCAGAGAAACCTGAGCTGAAAAGTTCCATGCCACTTTCTAATTGCATGACCTTGGACATGTTTAAACTCAAAGATATGTTATAGTTTGTTGATTTTAAAAAATATTTTTGGGAACCAGCAGTTAGTGTAATGGCTATGTCGCTGGACTCCCACGTAGTCGACCGTGGTTAGCGTACTGGACCTGGTGGCTTAAAACTCACGCCGGGCACGTGTGCGTGCGTGCCCAAGATCCCAAGAGGAGAATGGAGGAGAAGGGATTGCGGCGTGGCCATCCCCCCCGGGGGGTGATTTCTCGCTTTCTGTCTCCATGTCTCTCTCTGTCTGTCTGGTGAGTACACGCGCCCTGTAGCAAAAACCTCTCAAAAAAAATTTTTTTTTCATATTTTACTATTTGTGAAATTAGGATGTTGCCTGATAGTTTAACTGGCAGTATTTTTTGTTTCTTTCTTGGTGACATAAATTAATGGTGTTTTTTTATCATTGATAATGTCTTGGGGCCAACAGGTGGCACGGTGGTTAAGGTATTGGACTCCCACATGGCTGACCATGGTCTGAATCCTGGACCTGGTGGCTTGCTTTCTCACTTTCCCTTTTTCTGTCTCTCTCTCCCCCCCTCCCTCGTCTCTCTCTCCTTCTTTCTCTCTCTGTTGAGTGCATGTGCCCTGTAGGAAATTTAAAAAAATAATAATAAAATTAAATAAATAATTCTTTTTTAAAAAAAGAATTGTTAATGTCTTAAGAACTTATGAGCTATAGTGTATGTAGGGATATTTTATTGAAACCTTGTTTGTCTTGGCAACAACCTGGAAGCCAGCTAAATGCCCGTGAGCAGGAGTCCTGTAAGTAAAATATGGGGGCTCAGTACAACACAACACTCTGCCGTCGTCACAAAGAATAAGGACGGTGTGGTGGCATGACTGTAGTGACGTCACGTTACAAGCTGACGTGACCAGATAAGGTCTACCTCTAGCTATGCATGGAAAATAGCGTTTATGATTACAAATATTATTACAAGATATTAAGACAGTATCTGGAAAGAGAAAGTTGCTCTCATTGGGAAAGTAGAAGAACTTAAAACCAACTCACCTTTCTGCTGCTCCATCCCACGCCTGCCAGGAAAGCCATGACCAGTGTGCACAGTCCTCCGGACCCAGGGAAACCGAAGTGCACGCTGCTGAACACGGCTAGCACAGAGAACCCCAA